ACTCTTCCCCAAGCCCTTACAACGTCATGGGGTTGTTTTTGTCCAGGTGCACCAACCAGCACTTCCTCTTGCTGATTGCACTTGGCCAACGGATGCAACCTATCCGGATCCCTCTGCCTTCCTTACCTTTGGGCAGACCAGTAGGCCCCCCTAACTTGGTATTGTCTGCAAACTTAATAAGAGAGCGCACTCATTACCCTCATCCACACCACTGACAAAAACATTAAAGAAAACTGGCCCCGAAACGCAGCCCTGTCGGCACAGAGAATCACACTATGAGATACTGACATCCTAATGAAGAAAATCAGAGAGAAAAGCTTCCATGAAGTGCTCTATTTCTGGATAGGCAGATTGTCCCTTGTATCATCACACCTTCTTTACCTTTCCACAGCAGCACACACACACACATGTAGGTACACACAGCTATAGGTATAGGGAAATGTACGCCAGCCACTTAACAAAGCACCTTTCCCACCAGCCCTCTCACTGGGGAAACTCATCTGAGGAATTTCTGTATTTCCACTGTCTTTGGATGGGGTCTTTTTTTTTTCCTTCCCCCTTTGTTGTCCTCCTTGTGCTGACAAAGTATTCCAACAAGTCCTTCTGGCTGCCCTCCCCACCTCTGGGTAATTCCATCCACTGCAGCTCAGCGTTGGCATCAGCGGCTCCATTCCCGCACCAACAGGCCAAGGCTCCGTCTGCTTCCAGGGCTGTCTGTTCCCCTCCTGCACACTCTGCACTTCCTTCTGCTGTTTGAAATCCTCATTCAGGGGTCCTTGTTCATCCTTGACGACCTCCTGCAGGCCGTGCTGGAGTCCCTTCGTGTCACACAGGCGCCTAAGTTTCCTGACTCTGAGAACACTGAAGATCCAAGACAGACCCACTGAAATCCTGCCTTCCTGCACATCCAAGTTCATACTCAGCTAAATGAAATCAACACTCCTGCAGGCAGCTGTGATCATGAGGTTACTCCACGCTAGCTGTGCTGCAGAGCATGAGAAGTATCCCCAGCTGGGCTGCAACCACAGACTCCAATCTCCTTCGCAGGGTTTGAGGGTCATTGACAAGGGCTTTAAAAGGGCAGGGAATCTTTCCAGGGGTAATGCAAGTTTCCAGGCATATTTCTGACCGCAGCCGGAGGTCTCCTTCCCTGGGAATGACAGTAAACTCTCCCCATTCTACGAATCCCAAAGGAATGGGAGTCCTTCTTGCCCTGTGGGTGCCTTAATATGAGTGACACCACCTGGACTGATCTCTCACTTTGTGGGCTCCCAGTCCCTTGGCAGACAGCGCCCACGGAGAACTCGTGGAAGCTCCAGCTTCATATTCCTTCCAACTCCATCTTCCTTCCCTGGAGGATATCCTCTGTGCTGCCACACGTGGGACTGCACGAGGATGCACCTCAGTGACCATTCACCATCTCTGCTGTTACTGGACAGCAGCAGATTACTCCTAAATCCTACCTTCAGCGTCTCACAGCACTGGGATGAGTTTTTTCCCTTCCAAATCCACGGAGCAACAAACTTCCCGTGGTGCAGCAGCTCAGCCCTGCTCTTGGTACCAGCGCTGAAAGGAGAGCCAAGTCTTCAGGCAGCACGCTGTGGGGATCCATTTAAGAAAGCAGATGATAAGAGCACCGACCCAGAGTTCGTCAGAGCTTCGGGAGTTAGCGGAGTAGAAGCAGAATGAATGCAAACATTTCTCTAATAACACAGTATATGCTAATGGCAATAAAGATAGGCAGTAACTAATGTAATAAAGGTGACGAAATAAGGATGAGGTCTGCCGGGGGATAAGCGCAAAATCATTTGTGGAGGGAGAGGGTAAATGCATCTCTATGAAGGAACATCTGTAAAACCACATTCTGAAGAGCACCTGTGAGCTCCTGTTTCCTCGTGCTGTCTGTGAGGGGCTTCATTGTCAGAGGCAGCACTGAGCACAGGACTACGACCACCAGGTACAGAGATGGAGATGGAGGAGGGCTTCATGTAGGCAAACACAGCAGCGCCGATGAACCACGGCCAGGCGAGGGAGGCTTGGCGTCGTCCGTGCTCGGAGAACGTCTCCAGCACATCCCAGAAGATCTGCATAGAGGAGAAAAGAATAAACAGGCAGCACACAGATGCTACACAGACACCAGTCGTAACCGAACTCCCCTAAGGCAGGAGTTTGTGCTTATGGCCACAAGCTCTGCTGAAAGTCCCCCAGTGCGGAGGCTCGTAGACGGCCACAGCGTTCGTACGACAGCGAGAAGGGAGTGCTGTGCTGTAGGCAAGAAGAAAATGAAAAAGACCTGGGCGACACATCCTGCATCAGAAGCACCAGAAATGTTCCTGGTGCCCGAGAGAGCTTTGGCCGGGGCTTCGGGGCAAGTGGAGGAGATGCAGCCCAGGTTGAGGAGACGTGCAGGCGGTGGTCACAGGCCACGGCTGTGATGGAGAGGCTGTGGTCCAGCAGGGCAGCCAGGCAGACGCCCAGGAAGAGCTGGAAGTGCAGGAGCTGCAACTCTTGTGTGTCTGCAAGCGTCAGGAGGGAGGACTGTGAGGGAGCTGCTGTCGGACCTTTGTAGCCTCTGGATGACCTACTTGTGTAATGAAACCTCCTGTAGGGAGATCTATGCTGAAGATGGACAGCAGACCACAGGGTTGCTGTGGGGCAAAGATACGCACTGCGGTTACGGCACGGAGGTGCCCGGATCCCCAGCCCCATGGCATTTCCAGGGGCAGCTCCCTCTCCCTGATTATGTCTCTGCTGCCTGCAGATGTCCCTGTCTCTGGCTCCATCCCCACAAGCCCTCCCTGCTGTAGACTCACAGCTGCTGCAGACTCAGCTCTGCCTTGCAGGCCCCTCTTGGCAGCACTGCCCAAGGCTATTTCAACGCGGTCAGGTGCTCAGGGCCATGTGGCACAGGCCCTGGTGACACTGGACATGCAATGACAGTGCTTTCTATTGGCAGGAGGGCAGAAAGGAACTCGCTGGGGAGCGTAAGGCTTCGGATTCTCAGTATTTTCTTGGACGTTACAGCCTCTATTTTCACTCCTTCTGATGCGAAGAAAACAGAAAGTAGAGACTCAGGAAATCACAGAATCACAGAATCACAGAATCAGGCGGGTTGAAGGGACCTCAAGGATGATGGAGTTCCAACCCCCTGCCCAGCAGGGCCACCAAACACACACATTCACATCAGGTTGCCCAGGACCCCGTCCAACCTGGCCTTGAACACGGCCAAGGACGGGGCATCCACAACCTCCCTGGGCAGCCCGTTGCAGGGCCTCACCGCTCTCCTTGGAAACAACTTCCCCCTCACATCCAACCTCCATCTTCCCTCCTTCAAGGCAGACTTGAAGCAGGTAACCCCTGCATACGACTGTCATGGTGCGAAGCCCCACCAAAAATACACTGGGGTCCTGTGTAGCAGAGAATTCCCTACTCGGTGCAGCAGCCTTTGGCTGCAGGAGGCTCCCGCCCAGCCTGGGGGCTCCTTACCCACACGCTTCTCCCCGCAGTCCCCTGGGCAGGCTGAGTGCTGAGCCTGGCAGGCGTCCTATGATCTCCGTTGCAGCCAGATCAAGAACAAAACTGCGCTTGCTCAGTGGCCATATGGGTGCAGAGAGGGGAGGAAAAGGCAAAAGCGAGGACCAGAAACTGAAAGGGCACAGAGGGAAATTCCCAATTGTTTTAAGGGGAAGACCATCACCACGACTGGGTGTCAGTGCTGGGCCAGGAGAAACTGCGGATCGACCCGATCTCAGTGTCAAGCTGTTCCCGCTCAGGGCAAACGATGGTTCTCCAGTGGACCCTTCTGGTACAAAATCCTGTCAGAGCAACGCTGCTGCACACGAGGCATCGCTGGCCTCTGTAATCCCTGCCTGTCCCTCTCCTCAGGACTGCACACTGAACACGTTCGCTGTCGAAAGGAGATTCTTCTCTAGGGGCTGAGGGACATCGCTGAGAATGGGGATACAGAAGAAAACTGTCAAGCGTGGTCTTTTTCACACTCAGGACGCTTGTAGCCCTCGTCTCCTGCGGGGATGTGCAGGTGGGAGGGCAGCGTGGGACTCCTCCTGGAGCCCTTCCCACACTCATCACATACAGTTTGCCTCCTGTGGGGATGTGCTGGTGGGAGCTGAGTGGCAGAGCACAGAGGGTCGTTGTTGGTGGTGCAGAGTCCGGTTGGAGACCTGTGAGCAGCGGTGCTCCTCAGGGGTCGGTGCTGGGTCCGGTCTTGTTCAACATCTTCATCAATGACCTTGATGAGGGGATAATGGCCACCCTCAGCAAGTTTGTGATGATACGAAGTTGGGAAGATTGGCTGACAGCCTGAAGGCCGTGCTGCCATTCAGCAAGACCTGGATAGGCTGGAGAGCTGGGCAGAAAAAAACCGGATGAGGTTTAACAAAAGCAAGTGTAGAGTCTTGCATCTGGGGAGGAATAATTGCATGCACCAGTACAGGTTGGGGGATGAGCTGCTGGAGGGGAGCTCTGCAGAGAGGGACCTGGGTGTCCTGGTGGACGACAGGTCGGCCATGAGCCAGCAGGGTGCCCTTGTGGCCAAAAGGCCAATGTCTTACTGGGGTGCATTAAAAAGAGCGTGTCCAGCAGGTCGAAGGAGGTGATCCTCCCCCTCTGCTCTGCCCTGGTAAGACCTCATCTGGAGCCCTGCGTCCGGTTCTGGGCTGCCCAGTACAAAAAAGACAGGGATCTCTTGGAAAGAGTCCAGCGGAGGGCCACGAAGATGGTGAGGGGCCTGGAGCATCTCTGCTGTGAGGAAAGGCTGAGTGAACTGGGGCTGTTCAGCCTGGAGAAAAGGAGACTGAGAGGGGACCTGATCCAGGTCTATCAATATCTGAGGTGTGGGGGGCAGAATGGCGAGGCCAGACTGTTTTCAGTGGTGAGTGGAGACAGGACGAGGGGAAACGGCTGGAAACTGCAGCACAGGAAGTTCTGCACAAATGTGCGCAAGAACTTCTTTACAGTGAGGTGAGGAGCAGTGGAACAGGCTGCAGGGAGGTGGGGGAGTCTCCTGCTCTGAGATGTTCAAGACCTGCCTGGATGCCTGCCTGTGAGACCTGCTGTAGGAACGGCTTTGGCAGGGGGTTGGACTGGATGAGCTCTGGAGGTCCCTTCCAACCCCTACAGCTCTGTGATGCTGTGATGCTGTGAATTGCTCCTGGGACTCTCCTCACGCTCACAGCGCTTGTCGGCTTTCTGTGCTCCGTGGGTGCGCTGGTGAATCACGACTTGGGAGCTGCTTCTGAAGGCTTTCGCACACTCAGGGCACTTGTAGCGTTTTTCCCCTGCGTGGATGCGTTGGTGGACCATGAGTTGAGACTTGCTTTTGAAGCCCTTTGCACACTCGGGGCATCTGTAAGGTCTTTCTCCGGTGTGGATACGCTGGTGGATCATGAGTTGGTAACTGGTTTTGTAGTCTTTTGCACACTCGGAGCACTTGTAAGGCCTCTCTCCTGTGTGGATACGCTGGTGGCATTTAAACTCGAAACTGCTTTTGTAGCCCTTTCCACAAACGGAACATCTGTAGGGTCTGTCTCCCGTATGGATGCGCCGATGGGTCATGAGGTGAGAACTGGTTTTGTAGCCCTTGCCACACTCTGTGCACTTGTAGGGTCTCTCTCCTGTGTGAACGCGCTGATGGATCACAAGGTGGGATCTTCTTTTGAAGCCCTTCGGGCATTCGGAGCATTTGAACGGCCTCTCTCCAGTGTGGATGCGCTCATGGATCAGGAGGTTGGAGCTGCTCCTGAAGCCCTTCTCGCACTCGGGGCACTTGTAGGGTCTGTCTTCTGAGTGGGTGCGCTCGTGGTAATCGAGCTGAGAACTGCTCTTGAAGCTCTTGTCACACTTGTGGCACTTGAAGGGTTTGTCTCCCGTGTGGATGCGCTGATGAGCAGCAAGGTAGGGACGGTCCTTAAAGCCCTTCCCACCCCCACTGCATGGGTTCTGCCCGTTCTTCTGCAAGACTTCCTTGCTGCTCAGCTCTTCTGGCTGCTTTTGACCTTTGCCGCAGTCCAGGCTTTCCCTCACTCTCTTTCCTGGCTGTTTTCCCAGAGGCTTCCTCAAGTGCTTCCCTTGCTCCAGGCCTCCTTGCGATTCCCTTCTGGCTTTTCCAGGACAGAGATCACCCCGCGGGCTTCCAGGTACCCCACTCTCCTGCAGATTCTCCTTTAAATTTGCGATCCCATCACCTGCGGGATGACAGAGGAAATTGAGAACTAGCTTACTGGGCCCAAAACACGCACCAGCTCATCCCACAGGGCCTTTTGCCAACCCCGACCTCCTCCGCCAACCTCACCTGGGCGCACGTCTCCCGCCATGTCCTTCAGGCTGCGTACATCTGGGACCCAGGGATCTTCCCCTCCTTCAACCAGGGAGATCACCACAGGTTTAGATGCTTCAATGACAGAAATAGTGGAGATGAAAGCATTGTCTTGATTCTGGCAAAGCTGCTTATGAAATACCTCCACTATGTGTCCCCTCCCTTCTTATGAAACCACAACCGGGGCCAGAGCGACACGGGGCCGACACAGGCTGCCCTGCTTTGCAATACACTTGGATCTTCCATCTCTGAAAATCATGCCGGGGCTTTCATTAACAAACGTGACACACAGCAACGCAAGGGAAGCATGCAGGGCGCTGATCCAACCCCTCCTGACTGATGCCAGGGTGACAACGGTGCATCTGAGTCTTCTATCTGGTGAGCATACAAACGGCTTCTGAAACTCATGCACGAAGCGTCAGTCAGCAGGTAATTCTGACATATTTCACCACTGTCCTGCTTGCACAGACCCATCTGTACAGCCTAAGGACAAGTAGGAATGGCAGCAAAGCCCTCACCCAGCGAGGCCACGCACGCGTACGTCTCCAGCATCACATCCCAGTACAGCACTCGCTGCGCAGGGTCCAGCAGCGCCCACTCCTCCCTGCTGAAACACACGGCCACCTCTGCAAAGGTCACGGGCTCCTGCAAGCAAAGAGGCTCCTTGCTGCAACCACCCGTGGCCTGGGGAAACGGCTCGTTGAGGAGAGAAAGCCCAGCCTCAGCAGCTTCTCTCCCCAAACGCCGGGCAAGGGCAGCTCATTCTCCTCCCCCTGCACTCACATCCCTTGCACCTCCGCCGCGCTGCCTGCTTCCCCAAGCCCCCACCTGGGATGGATGCGCTGTGGCCATTTGCTGCTCTCCTGCAGGCTGGGATGAACACAGGTGAGAGGCAGGCAGCCTGTGGGGACGCGAGGAACACGGCCGGTTGTGAGGGAATGCAGCAGCCCCCATCCGACCCGGCCCTTCCCAGCTGTGGCAGGTGAACCCAGCAGCAGCTCAGCGCCACACCGCCCTCGGATTGCTGCCCATGCAGCGGGACGAGGAAGAGAACTGGGAGCAAAACAGACCTTGTGGGTTGAAATAATACCCGCTGACCAAAACAGGAGAGAAAACAGAAGCGAAAATGCAGTGAAATAAAAGAAGCATGCATACACTTCTTCTCTCCCTCCTCTCATAATCTCTCTCTCTCCTTTCCTTTCTTACCCTCCTTTTTCGCCCTTCTCCCCTCATTCCTTCTCTTCCATCACTCCACCTGCTATGCTCAGATCACCATATTCTCGAGGTGAGCTGGTGAGCTCAGTGCTTGAACTCTCCGAAGCAGGTTGGTGTTCTCTTTCCTCCGCCCACAACTTTGTCTCTCATTCTTTCCCTGCTTTTCTCCATTTCCCCTCTTTTCTTTCTTTCTCTTTCTCCTTTTCCTGCCTTCTTTTACTCAGTTCTTCAGCGGCCATTTCCTACATTCGATAGGGAAGTAATACTGGTGCCAAAGTCGTCTCGATCCACATCATTCGTTGCTATTAGAAAGCCGCCCAACCTTGCCATGAAATACTCAATTGCTTTTAGAAAGCCGTGTAATTGTACATCAAGTAGTTGACTGCCTGCTGTTAGAAAGTTCGTTAAGCCCTGTCATACTAAATTGCCTGGTGTCATTCCTCCGAGTCGCTGCCTGACTCCGCTGTGCCAGCATCTCCTGCCAAGCAGGGAGCGCCCTGTGCGGGAGACGGGACGACTCCACCTTCCTCCCCACCGCAGAGAGGGATGGCGGAAGATGAGCACCTTTCTCCTTCAGCACAGCACCGCCAGGCCCACAGCAGCAAAGCACGGCCAGCCTCGGTTGGGCCGCGCTCCCACAGCCGCCACGCAGCCTGGATTTGGCCCCTGCCGCCCGTCGTCCGTTCAGGCCGATGAAAGACGGGCTGACGGTGTGGGCGATGGTTGCCGAGCAACAACGCCGCCACAGCAGCTGCAAAAAACCTGCCGGTGCAGATTTTCACCAGCGTAGCATGCAGGCTCCTGTTAATTGCTGGCGAAAATGCAGAGGCCGTGGAGCTGACTACGCTGAGAAGGAGCATTTTGCAGCTCAGAATTCGCTCCACCAGACAGTGTTACTGCGCGCTTTGTACCTATCACAGCTCCAATGGGAATGAAAAGGAGGTACGACTTTCAGAGCGACCCACGCGTGTCGCTCTCACCGCTGTCACTTCACTCTTCCCCTCCTCTCCTCCTTCTCTCTCACTCAACAGCTTTCGTCCCCCGCCCCGCGCTCCTCTTTGCTTCCGACACCCCCGAGGCGGTTCGGAGCCGCAGCGCCGCGCTCACCGGGGGCCCCGCGCTCACCGAGCGAACCCGCACGCACCCACGGCCCCCCCCGCCGCTCGGACATCCCCGCTCACCGCAGCTCCGTTCGCGCGCTCCGTGCGGTGCCGCAGCCGCTCCGAACGCCCCCAGCGCCGCCGCCGCCGCCGCCCCGCGGGAGGAGCTGAGCGCGGTCCGGCCCCGCGGCCGCGGGAGCTGGGGGGGGGGGTGGGAAGGTTGGGGGGAGGAAGGGGGGGAGGCGCTCAGGCGGGGGATGGAGGGGGAGTTCGGGAGCCAGCGCTCCTTTTCCCGGTGGATGATGCTGCTTGAGCCCGGTTGAACTCACAGCGCCTGTATTTCAGCGGCAAAGGAAGGACGGGAGGAAATGGAGCGGCACGGGGAGCGGAGACCTCCAGGATTGCGTTCGGGGCCACAAGAGCTGTGGCAGCGTTACGAGGACAAGAAGAGCTGCCCGTGTTCTAGCAGCTTGAAAGAAAAAGGGTTCAGTATGGCTTCACGTGGTGCTGCGTTCCTGTTTGCAGCCAGCCCAGAGACTGCATCACCAGAAGCCAGGATGAGGAGCGATCGCTGCAGCTGGGGAAGGCAGCCCACGAGTCCAAAGGGCAGCGACGACGAGCCGGCACCCAGAAATCAGACGGTGTGTCTGAGAGCTTTGTCCAGACACTTCTTGAACTGCAGAAATCTCGCTTCCCCGAGGAGGCTCTTCCAGCCACAACCAGCTTCCCAGAGAAGGGAGAACCTTTTCCCCATATCCAGCCTGACCCCCCCATCGCAGCTCCGTGCCGTTCCCTTGGGTTCTACCGCAGCATCGGAGAGGCATCAGAGCCGCCTCTCTGCTCCCCCTCCTGACCAAGCCGTACGCCAAGGGAAGGTCTCCCCTCAGTCTCCTCTTCTGTAGGCTGAACAAAAGCGAAGGGACCAAAGGGGCAGCTCCTCATAGGTCTTCCCCTCTACAACCTTCATCGCCTTTGCAGCCCTCCTTCGGACCCTCTCCAATATTTTTATGTTCTTTTTGTTACGTGGTGCCCAAAACGGCACACAGCACTCCAGGGGCAGCCGCACCACGGCTGTGTAGATGGGGGCAGACCCTTCCCCCAGCTGACCCTGCCATGCCTGATGGCTATAGCTGGCCTTGCTGGCTGCCTGGACACCCTGTTGACTCTTGTTCAACCTGCTGCCGATCAAAACCCCCCGGTCCCTCGCAGAGCGATTGCTCTGCAGTGTCTCAGTCCCCGCTGTGTTTCACCCAGCAGCTGGAGATAAACCTATTTACTAAAGTAAAGGAAATGGACAGTGGCTATGACAAATATGTATGTATGCGAATGCCTGTAAGTCGTACAGAAGCAGTTGCTCAGCAGCCGACTATTGATGGCCAGCTAACCACCGAGTGAGGTGAACTCCTTCCCTCTTCAGAAGACTCTTAACAGTAAAAGGAAGACTAGGGAGAACGTGGCTCCCCTGCTAGGGGATGGAGGTGTGCTGGTAACGGGGGATGCTGAGAAGGCGGAGATACTGAGTGCCTCCTCTGCTTCTGTCTGCAGTGAAAAGGCTCTCCCTCGGGTTTCCCACAGCCTGGAGGACAGTGAGAGGGTCTGGGGAAGGGGAGACTTCCCTTGAGTCAGAAAGAAGAGGTGCGTGAGCACCGAGGCAGTCCTAAGGTCCATAAGTCCATGGGACCCGACGGGGTGCATCCACGGGAGCTGAGGGAGCCGGCAGAGGTGATTGCAGAACCTCTCTCCATCATCTTAGAGGTCTTGGATAACGGGGGAGGTGCCTGAAGACTGGAGGGCAGCCAGCGTCACTCTGGTCTTCAAAAAGGGCAAGAAGGAAGAGCCGGGTAATTGTAGGCCTGTCAGCCTCCCCTCTGTCCCTGGAAAGGCGATGGAGCAGCTGTGCTGGATGCCATCTCCAGACAGCTGGAGAAAAGGAGGTGATGAGGAGCCGTCAGCGCGGGTTCACCAGGGGGAGGTCGTGCTCCAGCAACCCGGTGGCCTCCTGCGATGTTGTCACACGCTGGGTGGATGGGGGCAGAGCAGTGGATGCAGCCTGCCTTGATTTCAGCAAGGCTTTTGGTGCCGTCCGCCACGGCATCCTTATAGCAACGCTGGGGAAGCGTGGGATGGGTGAGTGGGCAGCGAGGTGGGTTGAGAGCTGGCTGCTGGCAGAGCGCAGAGGGTCGGCGCTGGCGGTGCAGAGTCTGGCTGCAGGCCTGTGAGCAGCGGTGTCCCCCACGGCTCGGTGCCGGGCCCTTGTTCAACATCTTCATCGGTGACCTTGAGGAGGGGATGGTGGCCACCCTCAGGGAGTTTGTGATGATACGAAGCTGGGAGCATTGGCTGAAGGCCGTGCTGCCATGCAGCCAGAGCTGGACAGGCTGAGAGCTGGGCAGCAAGAAGCAGGAGGAGGTTCAACAGAAGCAAGTGTAGAGTCTTACAGCTAGGGGGAATCATTGCGTGCAGCGGTGCGGGCTGGGGGATGAGCTGGAGGGGAGCTCTGCACAGAGGGATGTGGGCGTCCTGGTGGACGACAGGTCGGCCATGAGCCAGCAGGGTGCCCTCGTGGCCAAAAGGCCAACGGCGTCCTGGGGTGCATTAAAAAGAGGGTGGCAGCAGGTGGAGGGAGGCGATCCTCCCCCTCTGCTCTGCCCTGCTGAGGCCTCAGCTGCAGCGCTGCGTCCGGTTCTGGGCTGCCCAGCAGCAAACAGGCAGGGAGCTCTTGGGAAGAGTCCAGCGCAGGGCCAGGAGATGGCGAGGGGCCTGGAGCATCTGTGCTATGGAGAAAGGCTGGGTGAGCTGGGGCTGTTCAGCACGGAGGAAAGAAGGCCGAGAGGGGACCTGAGCCAGGGCCGTAAATATCTGAGGTGTGGGGGGCAGAATGGCGAGGCCGGACTCTTTTCAGTGGGGAGTGGAGGCAGGAAAGGGGAAACAGACACAAACTGCAGCACAGGAAGTTCTGCACCAATGTGCGAAGGAACGGCTGTGCAGTGAGGTGACGGAGCACTGGAACAGGCTGCCAATGGACGTGGGGGAGTCTATGGGTCCCAGTGGGTCTCAACGTGTCTCTATGGGTCCCAATGTGTCTCTATGGGTCTCTATGGGTCCCATCATGTCTCTATGGGTCTCTATGGGTCTCTATGGGCCCCAACGTGTCTCTATGGGTCCCAATGTGTCTCTATGGGTCTCAAGGTGTCTCTATTGGTCCCAATGTGTCTCTATGGGTCTCAGTGTGTCTCTATGGGTCTCAACGTGTCCCTATTGGTCCCAACGTGTCTCTATGGGTCCCAACGTGTCTCTATGGGTCCCAATGGGTTTCAATTTGTCTCTATGGCTCTCAAGGTGTCTCTATGGGTCTCTATGGGTCCCAACGTGTCTCTATGGCTCCCCATGTGTCTCTATGAGTCTCTATGGGTCCCAACGTGTCTCTATGGGTCCCAATGGGTCCCAATGTGTCTCTATGGCTCTCAAGGTGTCTCTATGGTCCCAATGTCTCTCTATGGGTCCCAAATGTGTCTCTTTGGGTCCCAACGTGTCTCTATGGGTCTCTAGGTGTCTCTATGGGTCCCAACGTGTCTCTATGGGTCCCAATGGGTTTCAATGTGTCTCTATGGTTCCCAATGTGGCTCTATGGGTCCCAACGTGTCTCTATGGGTCTCAACGTGTCCCTATGGGTCTCTATGGGTCCCAACGTGTCTCTATGGGTCTCAGTGTGTCTCTATGGGTCCCAACGTGTCTCTATGGGTCCCAATGGGTTTCAATTTGTCTCTATGGCTCTTTAGGTGTCTCTATGGGTCTCTATGGGTCTCTATGGGTCTCTATGGGTCCCAACGTGTCTCTATGGCTCTCAAGGTGTCTCTTTGGGTCTCTATGGGTCCCAATGTGTCTCTATGGGTCCCAATGTGTCTCTACGGGTCTCTATGGGTCTCTATGGGTCCCAACGTGTCTCTATGGGTCCCAGTGTGTCTCTATGGGTCCCAGTGTGTCTCTATGAGTCTCTATGGGTCCCAACGTGTCTCTATGGGTCCTAACATGTCTCTATGGGTGCGAATGTGTCCCTATTGGTCCCAACATGTCTCTATGGGTCCCAGTGGGTTTCAATTTGTGTCTATGGCTCTCAAGGTGTCTCTATGGGTCTCTATGGGTCTCTATGGGTCTCTATGGGTCTCTATGGGTCCAAACGTGTCTCAATGGGT